AATAACTCTTGTGTATATTTCAGTAGCAGTAAAACAAATCACTGACTTCTTTAATAAGAAGTCAGCATCTAGCTATTCTATATAGATAATGAGTGAATACTCTTCTCTCATTTCATAAGCAAGAATAGCTGAAGCAATACCTCAGCAGCATCTCATTGTCAAGAAAGAGTAATCTGCTGATCTTGTATAGAAGTGAGGTTCTCATATTCATCAATCAGATCTTTCTATGATATATTCAAATAATGTCATAGAGTGGTTGGAAACCGGTTCAGATGAGATGAAATCATCCGCATGAAAGTGATGAGCCGTGTGAAACCGCAACGAGGCCTTGGCGCGGCCGGGAGCGTGACAATAGAAGTGAGATTCTTATATTCATCAATCAGATCTTTCTATAATATATCTGAATGATGTCATAGAGTGATTGAAAACTGGTTCAGACAGAATGAAATCATCTGCATAAAAGTGATGAGCTGTATGAAACCGCAACGGGGCCTTGACGCGGCCGGGAGCGTGACAATTATACTGTAATTGATTTAGAAGTTATCAGAAGATTTCAGAAGTTATTAGAAGTTATTATAAGTTAATATACTATATAAGATTATCAAGAGATCAGAAGTTATCAGAAGTTGTTAAAAGTTACTGAAAAATATACTCAGTACTTTAACTATAGTCTCTGATAACTGAATAGATGTTTTAATAGCAAGATTAAGATATTGAATAACTAAATATAATCATAATTGAAAAATTAGTAAATTATTCTTATCTTTAAAATCATAGTAGCAGTTTTCAATATAATACTTCATACTCAGAATATATATATTTTCAGATAAAAATTATATCAATTAATAGAAAATTAAAAAATTAATTCTTTAAGATGATAGAGAAATAATCTATAAGTAATATTATACAGTGATTCTATCTTAAATATTATAATTAAAGTAAATTGTTTCTGTATTACTAATAAATAAAAACTGTTTTTTCTCAGACACTCTGTGAAGAGTTTACTGAGAATAAACTGACTGCTAAGATTATAAATTTCACATTTAATCTCATTTAGTCTGATTTCATACATTTCTTAACATGAATCTCACTGAGACTGACTATTAAAAAAACATGTAAAGTGACTATATATCAGATTTTAAAATGAAATCATGACTTAAAAAAAATAAGAAAGTGATTTCATTTAATCTCATTTAATCTCATTCTTGATATAAAGTTACTATTTTTAGACATTTTAAGATTTTTTTTAGACTATTTTTAATTTTTTAAAAAGTAACACTTTTTGATAACACTTAAATGAGATTTAAAGTTATTTAAAGTAATAAAAATAATTTAAATTGAGAAGTAGAAATCATGATCTTATTTGAAAAATGTGATAAGAGTAGATAGTAAGTCTTACTAAGACAGTATAAGATTACTATTTAATGTTAAAACTGTGTAATGAAATCAGTTAAATTAATAATAAGACTTAGACTGACTATGTAATTATGTCTGAGATCAGAACTAGATTTTTTAATAGTCTTATTATCAATTCAACTGATTTCATTACACAGTTTTAATATTAGATAGTAGTTTCATACTGTTTCAGTGAGACTTACTATCTACTCTTATCACATTTTTCAAATAAGATCATGATTTTCACTTCTCAATTTAAATTATTTTTATTACTTTAAATGACTTTAAATCTCATTTGAGTGTTATCAAAAAGCATTACTTTTTAAAAAATTAAAAATAGTCTAAAAAAAACCTTAAAATGTCTAAAAATAGTAACTTTATACTAAGAATGAGACTAAATAAAACCAAATGAGATCACTTTCTTATTTTTTTCAAGTTATGATTTCATTTTAAGATCTGATATATAGTCACTTTATATGTTTTTTTAATAGCCAGTCCCAGCGGGATTCACGCCAAGAAATGTATGAGACCAGACCAAATGGGATCAAACATGAAATTCATGGTCCCAGCGGCCAGTCTAATGAGACTATCAAAAAATCTGGTCCTGGTCCCAGACACGGTCACACGGTCAGTCTAGCTGAGGATATCTCATTTAGGTTTAGTGTAAGCTCTGTGACAGTTGATTGACTCAGATGTTAGCAGGACTTGGCAGAAAGTAGCAGTAGTTCAGATTGAGTTAGCTCGGAGTGGAGTGGCTGAGTTTACTGAGATAACGCCCAGTCCTAGCTTTCATAATTATCCTGGATGCCTCCCAGTTTGCTTTGAGGCAAGAGAAAACTAAACGCGTTTTGATTGTGTTGAAGAAATGGATACCTCAGATGCATTGCTCTTCCCTCCCCAGCGGCAGTGGGTCCTCAGGTGGCACCTAAAACTAACCTTGGAAGCGATAAAGGGTCATTCAGCCTGGATGATGCTCAATATTAATAATCCACAATCGGATAGGTCCTGTGCTACATGTATGGTTATGAACCATGTGAGAATCAGATCTTAGGCTGGTTATGACCATGGCTCACTGTTGTTTCTTGTTGGCCTTCTCTGTCTATGAAGCTTTACAAATTAAGCAAAAAGTCTCTCACGCGACTGAGAGATCTGGTCGTTGAAATTCTCGGCCTTTTGCATCATACTACCGAGCTGCAGGAATCCTTTTTGAAGAGCACGATTGTATAATTGTATAGAGAGAGGGTTTGAAATCATTTAAAATCATTGTATTACCCTTGGGCATCTAGGATGGGATTAGAGGTATCTTAATGAGATACTAGATTTAACCCCGTGACACTTTTCAAGAGGTGACACTACTTATTCCAATCAGGATCATGCTACTGCTGATGTACACCCGGTGCGAGCGCAAGAAGGACAGGACACTGAGATCAGATGGGAACGTTTTGATGGAGGGGACACATAGGAGGGAAGGGGGAATTTTCCTTCTTCCTGGGAATAGAAGAGCTGGGACTAAACTGTTTGATTCCCTCTTGGTTTACTGTTTCTGCCATCCCCTTTTCCTTTCACTTTGAGGAGGGAAATACTGGAATTTTTGCATAGTCAAATACTCAGAAAATAGCAGAGTCCTTACCCCATCTTCTTTCAATTCTACTTATTGGCAACCAGTTCTGTCAGACTTGAGGAAATGAATCTGTCTTGCAGTCTGGCTGGAGATGGTGAATACTGGAGGCATGAATGCACTTCGCGAGTAATTTTTAATAAAAATTAATTAATTAATTAAATTAAATTAAAATTCAGCAGCTTTTCATTAGTACAAGAATCACCCGTCTTGTCTCTGTGAGCTGATGAGTTTGCTGGCCGTGAGAGCCGTTCCACCAATCTGTAGAGGCATCAGAGTTACAGTTTATTGGCACAGTTTAACTGAAATCCATGGATAGCTATGTATCGTCTGCTCCAATAGCCTAAATCGGCCTCCAGCCGTCCAAAAAAGTTGGCTCCCTCCAATATTGGTTGATGAAATTAGAAGCTTTTGAGAAAGGTTTGACGTTTAAGTTCAGAACCAGCAAAAGGTGTCCAATAACTAATTGTGTAGACGAGAGTATAGGCTTCTATCAGCAGCTTGATGGATGATAACCCCCGTTCAAGGAGATTTCTATGGTCTATGGACAAGGTTTTTCTTTTTTGACGTTTTTTAGTTCTGTGGTGGCCTCGTTTTCGTGTGGATAAAATATGCCCCCCTTTTAATGTAATTTCATGGTAGTATGACAAAAACAGCAGTCAAATGCCGCTGCCGGATTATATTCTTCACAGTGTCCTATGCGACGTAAACGCATTGTGTGGGGAAGTTGACGAAATAAAAGCTCCGGGGCCGTTCGGCTTGCCGACTCGGGAAGTCTTGGCATGGAGGCTTATTGAGGGCTAGTTAAGTTACTTAACTAGCTTAGTTAGTTGCCGATCGCTTGTTATGTATTCAGTTAGTCCAAAGTTTGTTGTAAGCCTCAAGTGCACAGGCATTGTCATCCTCAGCTTTTTATCAACAGCACTTTAAACTCTTGTTTCCTCCAGCCGCCTAGTGCATAGAGTTAACGAATCCCTGTCACTTAAAATTGACCCACAGACTTCCCTCCTTATTCAGTACCTAGAGGGTGGGATTTGTTCCACTTCGCTCCTAACGAATCACGTAGTCACCCAGAGTCACCTCGAACTTATCAAGCTGAAATGGGAGTCAAGAGGTGTGGGAGAGGCTTTGAATTGGCTGTTAATGGATGGCATTTGTAGTGTGTGGGATATCCGCCATCATTGCTGCCCGATCCGTTTCTGGAGTTTCCCCCCATTCATACTTGAAATGTGCTAAACTAACTACATCTCTGGGGCCAAAACAAGCGAATAGCCTTTCCATACTATTTTGGAACTTTTACAATGCATTTATCCTTGCTTGTATTTCGAAAACAAGTTAAGGGCACGTCTAATGACACGCAGATTCAACGTTAGAATGCATCAATATGGACATTCGCCGGAGTATATCCCCAAGCGGGACAATAGCCGGCTTGGGCCTATAAAATAATTACCAGATCACAATGTTTTAGGGTTTATATACCTTTATCGAACGAATCTCGGTACGCCGATTCCTTGGTTTCAACATTAGCTTCTGGTTAAGTCCCCGAGTTAGCAAGGGATGAATGACCCTCTAACTTGGGATCACCCAAACCTTCCTTGCGTTATAGCTTCTCCACGTCCGCTGAATGGGGCCCCGCGGAACTCCGCTAAGCTTTTGACATCTAGTTGTCCGCCCATTTATGGAGCCTGAGATCTTGCAGCTTGCCGCTAGGTTACATACATAGAGCTCTACCTGATCGCGAGAATGATTCCTTCTCACAACTTCTACTTCACCTACTTCTCTTGATATCTCATCTATGACCAGAATATTCCATGCACTTCAAAACTACTCTATCATTTGCTATACCTCAGTCCGCCGCAAATTTCTACTTCGCTGCTTGTAGCCCTCAACTTTGCTCTCTCTGCTAATCCCACTCATCGAGAGCTCTACTTTAGCTGCTAATAATTCACAAACTGAGCTACCAGACACCTGGGCAGCACTCTACAAAATGAAAGAGTTTACGAACATATATGCCATCGCGGCTGTTGCCGTGATCGGCGGTGGTTTGTTCGGTTTTGATATCAGCTCTATGTCTGCTATGTTAGTTACAGTGCCCAGTTTTGCGGTGCATCCTTGATGCTGACCGCTCTCTCCGTTCAGCATCTCGACCTCACAGTACCTTTGCTACTTTAACCAAGGTCCAGACTATTACGGGGTGATAACCCCAGACAACCCGGATGGTACCCGCTGTAGCGGCCCTAGACCCTCTACCCAAGGCGGTATCACCGCTGCCATGCCCGGTGGTTCCTGGGTTGGCGCTCTTGTTTCCGGATACCTGTCAGATATCCTTGGCCGAAAGAAATCGATCCAAGTCGGCTCTTTATTTTGGTTTGTGGAATCCCTGAAACAGAATCTACGGGAGTTTTTACTTACCTCCTCTCATAGGATTATCGGAAGTATAATCTCCGCTGCGGCTCAAAATATTGGTATGCTCGTAGCTGGACGTTTTATCAACGGCTTCGCTGTTGGTATTTGCTCTGCTCAAGTCCCCGTCTACATTTCTGAACTGGCTCCTCCCTCGCGAAGAGGCAGATTAGTGGGCGCACAACAGTGGGCTATCACATGGGGTAAGTCTAGCCGCTTTTCAGTTCCCGGATTCCTTATTGACTACTAACACATGCCAACCAACAAAAGGCATCTTGATTATGTTCTATATGTCATATGGGTGTACATTCATCGGGCCAGCAAACGGAACAACGGCCTTCAGACTCCCTTGGGCCCTCCAAATGATTCCCGGCATCTTTCTCCTCTTTGCGCTTTTCTTCATGCCTGAATCTCCTCGCTGGCTTGCCAAAAAGAACCAGTGGAATGAAACTGAAAGAATTATAGCCGGCATCCATGGCAAAGGTGATGCTAACCATCCCTTCGTCAGAGCCGAACTGCAAGAAATCGGCGACTTCGTAAAACTGGAGTCAACTAACGAGACCACGTATGCACCCCTATACTTTATTTTGACTTCCCTTCCCACCATAACTTAGAGCAAAATATGATTCTAACCTGCGCAGTTATTTCGATCTCCTCAAACGGAACATGATTTTCCGAACTCACGTTGGTGTCTTCACTCAGATTTGGAGCCAGTTGACCGGTATGAACGTGATGATGTATTATGTAGGCAAACAATCCATTCAGTTTATATTGGCGAGCTATATTCGCGGCTCGTTAATTTCAAAATAAAATCACCCTTCGTCAACATACTAATTTCGCCCTAGATTACCTACGTATTCGCAATGGCTGGATTGAGAGGCAACACCTTGCTTGTATCATCCTCGATTCAATTCATCATTAGTATGGCCCCCAAAAAGGATAGATATCCCTCAAAGGTACTCTCAGCTAACCATTCTTTTCAGACGTCGCTATGACCGTTCCCGCTCTTATCTGGGTGGACAGATGGGGCCGGCGTCCCACTCTCCTAGCTGGAGGAATCCTCATGTGTGTTTGGATGTTTGCTACAGGCGGCATCATGGGAGCCAACGGCCACTATGTGCCCGGGGGTATCAACGGAGTCAAAGCAGTATCATGGGCTGTCAACCAGGGTGCCCCCGCCAAAGCTGTCGTGGCCTGTACCTTCCTCTTTGTGGCCTCCTTCGCTCCGACCTGGGGCCCCGTTTCCTGGATCTATCCACCGGAGCTGTTCCCTCTCCGCTTCCGCGGAAAGGCTGTCGCACTTTGCACGTCCTCCAACTGGATATTCAACTTTGCCCTGTCCTACTTCGTCCCGCCAGCCTTTGAAAATATCCAGTGGAAGGCATATATGAGTAAGTCTAGAAATCCCACCCCCCATCTTTTTCTTTTTCTCGCCTCTCCCCTTTAAAATACGTAAAGACTAACGCACAACCAGTCTTTGGCGCCTTCTGTGCTGCAATGACCATCCACGTTTTCTTCGCCTTCCCAGAAACAGCAGGAAAATCCCTCGAAGCCGTCGAAGATATCTTCAACACAAGCACTCCAGCATGGAAAACACGCGTTACCACAAAGGAAACCATCGCAGCTGAACGGGGCGATGTCGAGGCCAAGCATACATTTTCTGAGCGTACCAGGATACACGCAAATATTGCTATGCAAGACGTCCCAGCGAGGACCGGGGCTGGCTCCGGTGCGGGTGCCGCCAACCTGACCAGCAAGGTCAACTTTAACCCCACAGAGCGTACCGCGTCTGGGTCCAGTCGCAGTACCTAGATAATCATGCAATCGCCATTGCTGATTTGCCCAGTTTGCTCATCATTTATATACATTGCATAGTAGTAGTATTGTTTTATATTCCGTCCAACAAATGCACAACCGACGCCAACCACAGAACAAACTTTTCAAGTATGTCCTTTTCGTGTGTGGCCTGGTGTTCGCTATTCCCCCCTTTATTTCATTTAACACTCACCTCGCTTTGGGACACATTAATATTTTCTCTTTTCTATTCTCTCTTAATCTCCCCATGATAATTATTATTATTATTATTATTATTATTATTATGTATTATGTAAGATAATTCTCTGAATTCTGTAAATATCAAGAGAAAGCAGACTTCTGACTCCCCATGTGAGTGAGAAGAAAGTAAATACTCACCTCAATGTCTTGAGACCTGAAATGTTAATGTATAAGAGATACTTGAATAAGAATTGAGAGATGACTGTCAAAGTATTAGCAGACACAGAAGCTTCTACACAATATATTAATAATTATATAATTCCCAAGACTAAAAGAGATCTGCTGAGTGAAGAATCTCTGATATATAAGATTATCTGATAACTAATATTTAATATCATCTGCAAGAGTAAGAGTTCCTTGCACTTCAGAGAATGATCTTGCTATATTTGAGCAT